ATGTGAAACGGTGCAGACTTTCAGTGTTACGGTGCTTCCATCCAAGATGTCGGACCGAGTGTCTTTTTGTAGCCGATGTATTTGGAGATATACGGTACTTACCAAATAAAAGAATAGTTGCATATAATGTTAAAATAAATTCACTATAAGACCAACATGTTCATCATGTATGTTATATGGGATTGATATCAATTATTTACTGAAAACTTTTGGGAAAAACACACACGTTGAATTCGAACCGACAGGCCTCGTAAATATTTGAGCTAACCTCCATTCAAGAGGCATCAATCGTAAAGAAAACATGCTTGATTATTAGAGTAAATGTATAAAATCATTCCTGGAAATTAAAAATTGTTTCAATCAGTTTGTTGGGAAAATCCGCACCGTTTCACGTATCCGACAGTGGCCCTCGCTCAAGCGTTAAATATTACACGTATCAACAATGGTTTAGGCCTATACTCATTTGAGATTTCCACCTGCATTTAACAACTACGGATATACTACATTATTTCAGGTAAACTTTAAATATTTTACAATCGTCTTTTTGTGTAAAAGTTTAATTAAATATTACACAGGACACCTTTTTAAATATTTAAACTCTTAAGTTTTAAGAGGCTTATAGAATCTACTTACAGGACATATTGCATACTTCACCATGAAATGAGAAATAAATAAAATCTTAACAAGAATTAGAATTTACCAAATGAAAAGATTTGACGGTTACCAAGACATTTTGTAAATTTACCGATGAAGCAATACTATTTGTTTATCATTCTATTTTGAATCATTTTACAGACAGTGAATACATGCACATTTTATTACATAGATAGTATAAATTGTATAACATATTGCTTCATTAAATTATGTACTTTAGGCGTGATAAATGTTGATCTAGTTAACAGACACAATCAAACTCAACCAAGTCTTTGATTGTTATATATAGACTATATATTTATTTTGTTCTTTATATTTAAATCAATTTATGTGACGGCATTATGATGAAATGTCTTGCTTATTAAGTATGTATATGTCTATAAAACAACAATAACAGAGAAAAAAAACAACAACAACAAAAAGCTTTACGTTTAAAGGCGTTCCACTTATGTCAAGCCTAAAAACAAAAACATGAAATTTGAACATCTTGCACGGGTCACGTGTCAAATTTCCACTTAGAATTGAAAGAAATATGCTAAAGATAATAAAGATATATACGCAGATGAGTCCAAATTTAAAATTGATATTTGCATGTTTTTAACCCAGTTGGAGTGACAAGCGATGCAACGCTTTACTTTTTTGGTGATTTTGATAATTATTCTTGGAAACTGGAGACTGGGAATTATCTGAAATTTTCCACGCACGCTATAAGTCCACACCTACATCAAATGGTAAACAAGTCTCGTAAATATATTTCAAGTCCCTTCATGTCAAATTATGGAACATATTTAACATCTTTCCTACGTTGAAAATGTACACCACCGAGGGAAGCTGGTGTTGTTTGTTTTTTTTCTACATATTACATGGACGAAAGTTTTACCTTCGAATTGTATTTGTTTTGGATGTTCAGAAAGAACAAGGCTTTCATCTTGTACCAGGATCTAAACTGAATGATTCCTTACTCCAGAAACAGATGGTTATTATATCTTCTTTTTTGTTTTAAAGAATCAAATTGATAAAGCTCCATATAACTCGAGGGGTAATTTGTCATTCAGGCAAAATTTTCACTTATTCAAAAGTACGAGAAAACATATTAAAAACACCGGCCCATATATATAAGTAACGCGAGACACAATTTAAAAGTACACATTAATTCATTGCATGCTCAAATAAATTTGTTTCAGCCTTTTTTCTTTTTTTTTGCGCATGAATACCACGTTCGTTGAACATGTGCTAAGACTACGAAAGACCGATGGGGACATTTCAACTTCATAAATTCCCGATTTCATCTTCGTGACTTCAAGTATTTCAACTTTGTGACTTCAAGAATTTCAAATTTCAAATTGTTAAAATCGTGAATTCGTGAAATTGAAATCGTGACTTCACGAAGCTGAAATTGTGAATTCTTGTAGTTAAATTCGTTAAGTTTAAATTTGTGAATTCGCGAAATTGAAATCGTGAATTTTACGGAGTTTTACTTGTGCATTTACGAAAATGCAATAGTGATTTCGCGAAATTTAATTCCGTAAATTTGTGAAGTTGAAATCATGAATTCACGAAGCTGAAATCTTGATTTCGTGAAATTGAATCCATGTAGTTTAGATCGTGATTTCGTGAAGTTGAAATCGTGAATTCATGTCGTTGAAATCGTGAAGTCACGAAGCTGAAATTGTTTATTCGTTAGGTTGAAGTCGTGAATTCGTGGTGTTAAAATCGCGAATTCACGAAGCTGAAATCGTGAATTCCTGAAGTTTGATTCGTGAAGTTGAAATCGTTAATTGGTGTAGTTGAAAATGTTTTTTCATGAGGCTGAAATTTTAATTTGTAAAAGTTGAAACTGTAAACTAACGAAATCGGGAATACATGAACTTCGCGCCGGTCTTTCGTATAAGACACCAACAAGGAATAAAAATAAGTGAAGAGTGACATACACCAACGTTGTACTTTTATACAAAATTTTAATGATTTATTGATAGAGTGTAATAGTGCAAATCGTTTTGCTCAAGTGTGTAAATCCGAGATGAAAAGAATGTAAATGGGTTAAAGCATTTTTTCTAAATGGTGACTGCAAGCTGTTCATACACAAATGGACCTTTTCACGACGTGGTCGTTGCTATGGAAAATTGATCACATGAAGCATGTGCAATCTGCATAGGGCAGAAAGATCACACCATACTGTTACGTAGCGGGTGAAGTAAAGCCCTATGCTTTGTCGGACCGTATTTGTCACGAACGTATCTATATGTTACACGTATGGGACATATTCGGCTGAATTAATCACAGCTGTGTTTATGTGCCATATACGTACGTGTGTTATATGGCACTCAGTTTACATAGTAAACTAACATTATCATCGCCGTTTTATCTACCCTCATCAACGTTAATTATACATCATCAGCATCATCATCATCATCAGCAGCAGCAGCAGCAACAAAAACATCATCATTATCATCGTAAATCAGTCCGCGCCGCCTTGCTTATCATTTTTCCAGTGAGATGACACTGTGTCAACACACAGTGACTGGCTTTGTCGAAAATTTGTGCTAAATATTTTGTTCATTAATATGTATTGATTTGAAGATAAAATATCGACTTTCCATGCCCCCACTCTGAGGGGTTGGGGGGGGGGGCGTTAAACGTTTTTCTTGTCCGTGTGCCTTTGCCTGAGTACGTACTTTAGTTTGGGATGAGGAAATTTTATATGAACGTCGGTCAGCATAATGTTATTGTGCACCTGGGATTTCGCTTGTTGATTCGGGCAGTCATGCCAGAGTTATTGTCCCTGACTTTGTCAAATACGAAATAGCCTTGAAGATAAAATATCGATCTCCTCTCATAGAAAGGAAAATGTAAACTGTTTACTTGTCCATGTGCATGTGCCTGAGTGCGTCCCTAAATCTTAAGTGGTGCTCCATAAATAATTTAGTTAGGGTATAGAAACTTTCATGTACGTTGGTCAGCATTATGTTATTGTGCACCTGGTGTTTTGCTTGTCGATTCGGGCAGTCATGCCAGAGTAATTGCCCTTGACTTAGTCAAATCGAATATTGTCAACTTGTGTCGTGTGTAGCTTCAACAGTATTTAAACTAGGAGCATGGTCATAAAACCTAACATGAATGAAGTTGTTCACCGATGTTTAGGTTGTCGATTCCCGCAGAAATGCAAAAGTTACTGTCCTTTGCAATTTATACCTGTGTTGCATGGAGCTCAAACAGTATTTTAGGGTCATTAAAATTTACGTAAATATTATTTTAATTAATTTCTACTTATTATTAGGTTGCCTTCGTTAACGGTTCGGTAAACTCGCTATAAACGTAAATCTTTTATAGTGATGACACACCCGTAAATACATTTACTATGTATAGGTTAGAGTGCATATTGGGTGTTCTTCGTAAATATTTATTACGAAGAACACCCACTATGCACTCTAACCTATACTTGCAAAACAGACCGCATATTTATGATTTTAAACAATTGCGCACGCTCATAAGATTAACCTTGCAAACTTGAAAAAAAAAACAACATATCTATCTTGCGAGCTAAGAAAACGATCTCAAGTCTCAAATAATCACATTAAGTGATACGAATGACTATTTGGTTTGATTTTATCAAATAAATTTTATCCACACTTCATTATAATAAAGAATGAAAAAATAGTGCTAATAAACATTTTTGTGCATTAAAATCTGCAGAAGCCCTCGTGCATATTAAATTCCTCATTTGCAGGTTCGAGTTTTGGCCTGATGATAGGTGTAATGCATTTAACCTCTATTGAGAACTGTTTTCATTTTTCTGAGCTAAATGTGTTTTTTAATAAAAGTAAATCGTTTCGTACACTAAGTGTGGCTGTTTCATGTAATTTTTATCATTAAGAAAGAGTTGTTCTATATTGTCAAATGTTTTTGTTAAAAATTGTTTTATAATTGAATTTTCTGCACCAAGTATGACTGTTAAGAGTCACCTGTTTAAATGTATTTGCTTATTGTCGTTGTTTTTGGTGGCTCTGGCTGTTTAGTGTCACATTTATATTGACAAAGTTTGCTTGAATAACGTCACCCTTTGGTTAACTAAGTGTGGTTGATGAAAGTCAAATGTAGACATATTGTTATATAAGATACAACATAAAAACTTAAAGACGTATTCCTGAGAATTTTCAAATCAAGTGGAAAATGTTAAATAAAAGTATACCTTATTTGGATAGCACTGTACAGTATTTCAATTTTACTTAACATGATTGTATTCTTTCAGATTATTAGACGTATGCAAGATGAAGACAAATTACTTTCGCAATTTACTTATCGTACTGCATTAAATGTATCAGAAATAAGTTTGCAATATCATTTTGTAATTCGTTTCAGACTAAAATGGAACAAATGGCTCAGAAACACGTAATGAAAGGTAAACATGTTATCGTAATTAGTGGAGGGTCGTACAGAATGAGAACTTTAGGGCCAGATGCTGACAGTTACGGCATTAAGGTATATATTTTGATTTAAAGAAACGCCGCATCTTATTAAAGTGACCTTCAGCCTTTTAGTTGGAAAAACAATTCTGTGCTGTTTCAAACCAAGTATTTCAGTATTATTACCTAAGTGCTTCATATCGCTGTTAAGCGTTCTTCAAAACAGCGTCTCGATGCTATTGCTATTTATAGCGCCTCGTGACGTTCGTTTCAATTTTTATTTTACTAATTTACATAATTATATTTTAGATAGTAATTGTTTTTTCAAAATCTTTTAGGAAAGTGAAACAACACTCATTTTATCCGGTTCCTTGTAGCACATGTAAATATTTTTTAATGCTAGTCACACTAATTGTCACTTCACAAATCAATAAACATTGATGAGATCGGTATCTATAAAAGTTAGTTAAATTACGATTTTCATAGAACAGAACAGAACAGAACAGAAAGTTTATTTTGACGTATACAAAGTACATAGTCAATTACATTAATACATTCATTCATACATACATATATACAATCACAAAATCAATGGATAGTCTGCAAATTTCTTGAAGGTGAACAGTTTAATCTATTTTGTTTCCTTCAGTATAGGATTTGACATAATCAGTTTAACATATATTACATAGTTTAATATTGTGTTACGAACATGTTGACAAAGATAGCGTGAATTTCACATACATTATTGTGCCACTTGCAATAAAGTTATCTATATATATACGTAATCAACACCAGATACAAGTGAATTACCAACTATAGTATCACACTATATACTATATTGAAAGGGAATAGTACTCCAAAACTACAGTTAACCTTAAACGAAACGAAAGGGAAGGTTAACAATTGGCTATTCCAAAAATATTTCAATTGCAAAGTTGTAATTTAAGAAAAAGCCTTACGACTAACTTGGGTCATATGACAAAATAATCTACTTAATACATTTCTTAACTGTGCACAGTCATAAGACATATAACTAATAATCTATTTAATTAGAACTGTACGGTTGACCAGAAACATCCATTTAAAGTTTGCTATCTTTTGTTTCATAATTGTACGTGATTAACTATATCATGGTTCTAAAACGTTCCGATTGAATGATATATATACAAAAACAACCACGGTCGAGTGTCAATCTGTTTGACACTTACCGCCTGGCCAATCCAAAGGAAGTGTACAATACAAATTGTGTAATATTATGTAATACAGGGGTTATAAAATTTAATCTTTAACACCCTGCTGTTTAATTTTAAATTACGGATGAAAAAGTAGTCTAATGATACCTTAAACAGACGTCTTTTGTATGCACCTTTTGACCATTGGATTATTAGTCCTGCATATTTATTACATGTTTATCTGTTATAAATATCAATTGACGTTTTAAGTACTTATCGCTTTAAGTCATCCCCAAATTACTGTTTTCTTGTTGATATAACATGGAATAACGACTATTAAAGCCTTAAAGTATCATACATTGTTGTCAATTTTATTGCGCTTTTGCGCTACACAAACTGCGCATTCGCGAAATGTAACATTGGTTGCTATGGAAGTATCGTATTGTAAAAAGGACCGGTAGATTAGAAGTATCGAGGGGTTGCTTATTGTTTTTGTATTTAATTGACGACAAATTTAATTCTATACCTTAATTCTTTCGATTTGACAATTATAAGAAACGATTTATGTAAAAATTACATATTTAACCTTTAAAAAGACTGACGGCCGCTTTAAATATACATAAAGAAATGTTTCGGGTCTAACATATGGCCGTTTTTATGACAAGTGATAAGTGATTATGATTTGATTTTTAATGAAGTTTATACAAGTTATGCAAAAAAAAATAATAATGGCGTAGCCAAAATAAAAAAAAACCGTTTATCAAATTAAAAGCCTTAATTCATTTCGATATAATTTACAAATATTTAAGTTCTACATGCCATTGAGTACAATTTCGCATCACAGGTTACTCTTGTGGAACATGACTCCAACCACCTTTCAATTAATGGTGTTCATTGTTTTATCGAATACGATTATACTGATCATACACGGGACCATGAGCATGCAAGTGAAATTGTTAGATTGATTCACGAAAGAGGAATAAAAGCCGATGGTTGCCTATCATTTTGTAACGAGTGTACACCTTTGGCAGCGTTAATTTGCGAAAAGATGGATTTAAGAGGTATTGTATCTTCATTGTTTTCACTTTTATTATCAACTTTAAGCATAAGATCAAAGTCTCATGCAAGTTTGGACTTTGTCAAAACGTTAAAGTTACCAGAAAGCTTTACTTCAAACGTTTCACAATTAAAATATGAGATATAACTTGCTTCTGCATAGCTTCAAGTAAGCCAGGTTGTTTACCTATTAAAGTGCTTTAATGATATCAATTAAAATAATCTCGCACATCAACTTTGCTTTCATTTGTCTTTCCTTAGAATATGCAGATTATTTTTTCTATGCAATGGTCTTTGTCGTTTTAAATACCATTTTATTTACTGTTTACATTATATTTACATGTTACATTGATATATGGACAAACTGGAGTTTCACATCAATAATTTATTTCTAGGTGTTACCTACAATGCAGCCGTAATAGCTACTTCGAAATCATTGACACAGAATGTTTTGAGAAGGAGATCAAAAGAAGGTGATGATTCAAACACCGGTATATTTGCTACACATGCGGTTCACCTTAGAAGTGCATTGGACTGTGACAGGTTACCGGAAAGGTATTCCTACTTTAGATTTTGTATACCTGACTGAGACATTCAAAAATTAAAAATTAAAACACAAAACCAAGGTTAAAATGATAAAATCCAATTAATTAAGCCTTTTCCCGGTGTTTTCAATTGAATAAAATTGTATTTAAAGAACATTAAGAAGAATAAGCAATCTTTTATGTTGCAAGTTAACATTATCTCCCATGAATATACTCAATTTGAGTATGCAATTTTATACATTTTTATTGCTTCCGAGTGATCATGCTTTACTGGACTACAAATTTGTTGTCCGATGCAATGACACGATAAACAAAATGGCTTTGTGAATAAAAACTTGTGTAAAATATTATATTAAATTATATCAAAACTACTTGAAACAAGTAATGTTTCAGAAAGCAACATCTGTTTCTTATTAATTTGGGGAAAAAAACTTAAAGTATATTTCTTCTGGAAAAGTAAAGAATTTTACTGTTTCAGTACAGAAAAGTAAAGAATTTTACTGTTTCAGTACAGAAAATGTTCTAAATAAAATGTTTTTTTTTGTCATACATGTTCAGCTTCAAGTTTCCTGCAATACTGAAGCTGGATAATTGTTCAGCAGCCGTTGGCGCATGTATGGTTAAAAGTCAAACGGAAATGAAAACTAAGTTTCAAAAAGTAACAAGCTCTCTTCGTACTGACTCGGACTTTCCTCACATTGGACTTAATCTTGGCAATTCAATGACAGCTTGGGAGTTTTACGTTGGCACTGAACATATTGTTGATGTCGTTATATACGACAAGACTCTGATATGTGCATTTGTAACCGACAGCGGAGTAGTGAGACAACCGTATTATATAGGTAACATCTTAGCGCAGCCTTTGTCATAACAAATATATCATCCATAATTTCGAAACCGAATTTTAATCTAAGAACAATTGTAGGCTACCCCTATTTTAATAATAGCATACTAACTTTGTGTTTCTTAACATTAGGGAAAATAAATACAAATACAGTTTGATGTATCTAAAATATACATTGGACAGTTTCCTGCCTTTTAAGAAAATCGTGATTACCCTAATAACATAATACATGTCAATGTATAATAATAATTAAACTTCAGAGGTCTGTTATAGTGTATTTGTGTACTAAATGCAAGTTTCAAAATATGAAAAAGTTTTATACTAAATCGCAAATTACCACATTTTGATAATTTGAATCATTATAAAAATGCAAAAAAAAAAAAAAAAAAAAAAAAAGAAAAAACGTTCCAGTATACACAATTAAATGAATTTATGTCAAAATTACACCAAAAACAAATATAAAATTATCAACAATTTATATCTTCTATGATTGTGTAAAAAGTGACACATTAATATTGTAGCTGAATATTTAAATTAATTTATTCAATAAAATGTTATAACTAAAATAACTCATGAAAAATAATCATTTGATATTAAAAAGTATGTGATTTCTTAAAATACTTATTTCAGCTACTGCTAGACGTATGCCTACATTTTTACCAAAAGAACAGCGTAACCAAATCATTGACGCGGCATTTAGATGCTGTCTTGGAATAGGTTTGTAAAAATATTAGTGTAATAAGATCAGATAAAGCGATCAAATTTGCCGACAGTTGCCTATATTTGTATATATATATCCTTTAAACATTCACCATTGTATAATGTTTTTTTTTATATTTATTTTCTTTTTAATAAGTTTGTTCAATATTCCCTTTCCATGAAATTCAGAATTATATTTTGTCGTTTTTACAAAAAAGAAAATGAGATAAAACGATACCCAATGTAATCATTTTCAAAATTTTAGTTTTGTAAATTTGAATAAATTGTAAATCATCTGATATACTAGTAACTCTATATGTTTAAGGGCTGACAGATGGATTATTTAATGCCGAATTTATGATGACAGCAAATGGACCTAAACTAATAGAAATAAATCCAAGAATGGGAGGATATGTCTTCAGGGATTGGCTACAGAAATTATACGGAATTGATATAATGTTTTATGCAATGATGATTGCAAGCGGAATAAAGCCTGAAATGCCAGACTTTTCGGAATCTACAATACAAATGGGCGTGATGGTCGTACCATCTCTACATAGTAAACTACTGACAGAAAATCATTCAAATGATAAATTGAGAAAAATGATTGAAAGTGGGGATGTCCTTTATCTACAGTTTCTTGAAAAACCTGAGAAATCTTCCCCTTATGAAAAACCTTTTGGAATTGTTGCTGTGTCTAGTTCAAGTTCTATTGAGACAAAGACAAAGTTGATGAACGTGTGTAAAACGCTGCACATAGATCAAAAGGAATATCAAGTTGAACAGTTTTTAAAGAATTTTTGAATTTCATGCAATTCAGTATAATATAGAACAATGTTTAGATTATTATAATTAAAAGTAAATTTTATTTTATCAAACATTAGAAAATTGTTTACATTTTATAGATATATTTAATCATTTAACTACGCATTATATATAGGCAATGCTTCTTCTTTATTCATCATTTAATGAGTACTAGTTTTGTGTGCATTCAACTTGCAATTATGATTAGTTTACGCGCATTGTAATGCTCTCTACATGCGTTGAGAATATAATAAAATCAGATCGATGATTTCTTTATTAAAAATTAATTAATTTATTATAAATATCATTAAAATTTTAATTAAAATATTCTTAAAGATATTCTTGGAAGTGATTTATAAAAACACTACTAAATATACATCCTGTCGATAGGTGTTGGCCCCTTACTTGGTAATCCCTCATGATGGCACATCAGTAGGGCTTTCCATGAACAGACTCAATCAACCCGAGCCTGCAGTGATGGCACATCAGTAGGGCCTGCCATGAACAGGCTTAATCAACCCGAGCCTGCAACATTGACACTTTTGTCGTTTTGGGCGTTCTTGAGAGATGCTGATTTCTCTGTTCACTTATCAAGCACTACTCATTCGTAATGGCTTCCATTACATATCGTTACGACGAAGCTATATTCTACTGGATGTTTTCTACGGACAAAGCTTTTCTTTGTTTTATTTATACTCAATCCCTAGGTTAACCAGCGCCTTCCATACAGACTATGCAGGAACGCATCGGCATCCGACTAATATAGTGTAGGTATTGTATCGTCTTGCCTGTATTGGTTTGTCACGTCTAATAATTTTGCTATCTTCCTCTCGTTGTGCACCTTCTTAACTGACTAGGAATATCACTTTCTTTTGGGCAAGTGATCAGATGTAAAAAACATGGACGGAGACTTGTCTGGACCACATCTTGGAAAACTAACATCTATCTAAATACCACTTTCGAATTTCATATTTCTTGCTACATGAAATATGCCTGTGGTCTGTCTGCCGTCGGCTGTTTGTCTTTCCTTGAGACAGATGACATACTGTGGACCTGAATTGACATTATTTAAGCATAGTCAGTACCATTTTGTTCCTATCATTCAAATTAGCTTCTTTAAAAAAATAAGATGAAACACCCATCATTCCTTATGCATTTAACTGTTAATATAATAACGATTTATAGAAAAATATATATTAAGTTCATTTGGAAATTACATTGTCAGGTGTATATATTTATTTATTTTATTGCCCTTGTTTCAAGCATTCTTCAAAAAAAAATGTATCGCTCAAAATAAATGAATATACATAATGTTACATAATTTATACAGTTTGACAAACGGAGAGTTTCTTTCAAGTGTGCACAAAATTCAACATACTTGAGAAGAATATTTTCATCCATGACAATTCTATACACCAATGACTAAATTGTTATCAAGCAAAATGTTCTTTAAATAAATGTTTATTCTAGAAAAAAGTGCTATCAGTATATAAGTAATTTACGTCTTTATAGGTTGGGTTTTACGTAGCGCCAAAAGAGTGGAAGTCATATGGCGGCTTTCCAGCTTAATTATTAGAGGAGGACCTCCGTTGCCTCTAAAATTTACCGAAAAAGCAAGTTGCATCTTAAAGATAAGATACTGTGCCGAGGAATATCTCATTTAGATATTTGTGTCATTTCCCAGTCATTACTGTTGAGAAATAAGGCTATGGAAAAACGAGTTTATTGATATTTAACCCTGCAATTATGTTTAAACTTACATTATGTTTGCTTTAACAAATATACTAGTAACGTCACGTTTTAAGTTATAGTAAAAGCAAATTTTGTCAAATTACCTGAATTACGTTTTTAAATTCACATGGCAATAATAAACAGAATCAAATGATAAAGACTTAATCAAAACCTGTAAATTTTAAAATAGAAGTATTGTTTAGGAAGATTTAATTGCCTGTTCTAATATATGAAAAATATAATATACAGAAGTTGCACAAAAGTATAAGCTTGTAATTTCATCATCTTCGACATTTGACAATATCTTTAATTACTACTTGTTGTTAAATATTTTTATTGTTTCCTTCAACATTTACCCTCCCCTTCCATCTGGATCTTCCCCTATATCCATACTCTTTTCTTGGCCTTTTACGTAAATATATTTCTTTTATGGCGTCTTTGTCTTTGCTCTTGTGCCTACGAAACACCAGTGGTGACTTCCCACTTCAAACGTCACATTTTTGACATAATGTATAATTTATCACAAATGTTTGGTCTGAAGTTTGAAGTCTGGATGTGAAGATCGAAGTCCGAAGTGTACAGTTTGAAGTGTGAAGTTGGAATCTGAAGCGCGGCGTTTGAAATGTTATGTTTGAAATGTGAAGTTTGAAATCTGAACACCCTAAATTGTCCCTAAAAGCAAAGAGATGACTTACTACTGAAGCCTTGTGAACTTCACACTTCATATTTTAAACTTCACATTTCAAACTTTACAATTCAGATAGATTTTATTCAAGTAAATTCCAGAAGGTCATAGACCCATGAGGAAAATATATTTACAAGTAATCAACATATTAACATAAAATGAATACATGCATAAAGAAATCAGCAGTTAAGTACATGATAAATATTTAACATTATTATCTGCTACAATTCATCCGAAGTAAATGTTAGCATACAAATATTTTATTTCTATATAAAGCAATGCATATTTAAAAAAATTTTCTTAATACAATAACATGTGATAATTTTATATATTCACTAGCACAAAAAGAATAGTAGCAAAATGTGTGATCGTCGTATCTAAGTATAATTTCGGTAACTACTACCAGATGAGCTTGTCAAAATATAATAATTAAGGAGTCTCTATAAAATCAATCCGTAGATCCTAGTTACCTCTATCTTGACGTTCGAAAGTATCAAGATAAAGTGTGAAAGATCCATAGAAAACATATTACAAAGTATACTCAATATCATTTAAACATTTAAAATGATTTATGTGAAGGAAAATGAAGTCTTGTTACAAAAACGAAACACAAGACTTCTGATAGCAAATATGATGATCGTTAAATACAAAACGGTTTGATAGTTAATTAATAAACCTTTGTATGTGAGATTCAAATAATAACAATGATAAATGCATGATACAATTCATGTCTGAATATTAAAAAGTATGCTTGTTCTTATTTCGAAAGCTTTATTGACAAAAATACTCAGATTTCTTATTATTTTCAAGTTCTCAGAATTAAATAGCTCTGTTAATTTTAACATATTTGGACGTCGCCAGTAATAACAAGATATATACTTCTTTCGTATGAGATTATACATTGCACATTCCAAAACAAAATGATATTCATCTTCTATGACATTGCAATTATAACATATTCTTTCATTCAAAGGAGTGCATGTAGGTTTCGTCCATCTTCCCATTTCTATATTCAATCTATGAGACGATACCCTTAATTTTGAAATACATTTGCGATACTTTCTAATGTTAATTAAGCTTAAGTATGGCTGTAGTTGAAAATTTTGAAATGCACCTATAAAAAAGTAGCTCTACTAGAAATTTGTAGTCTGCTATCCCAATTCTGTAAAAATTGATCTTTAATTCTTTGCTGCACTAGATTCAAAAATACATTTGTGTTTCCAACAGTTTGAAAAAGCCATGCATCATAAAAACCAAGATTACTAAGTAAATTTCTTACAAGAGAACACCAGTTTTTGTGATTAGGATTATTGTCTATATCTTCTTTTAACATAAGGTACACTTTTCTAACATATTTATTATCATTTAGATTCACAATTTTTAACCAGAATTTAATTATGTTGAAATATCTTATATTTTGAAAAGAAAGCCTACCCAGTTCACCATAAATGAAATCGTTTTGAGTCGTTTTCTTTACACCTAATATATTTTTACAGAACTGCATGTGCAACCTTTCAATAGATTTCCCAGGTATACAACCCCAAACCTCGGAACTATAATTAAGAATAGGAGAAACAAGTTTGTCAAAAAGTTCTAACCTATGTTTAACAGATATATCTGTAAATTTAAATAAATACTTATTCATTCTAAATATTGCCTTTGTGGCCTGTTCCAGCAAGTGTACTTTGAGCTTCAGAGAAAGAACCACCGGTTGTAAAAACAATACCCAAGTAAGTGAACTTACTAACAATTTCAACAGGATTACCATTATAACTAAACGAAATATTACTTTGTAAACGGCCACCTTTGCGGAAAATCATGACTTTAGTTTTTTCTGAATTAACAACAAGTTTCCACTTGCAACAATATTCGTAAATGCATCTAAACTATTTTGTAATTCAATACAACTATTTGCAAATATAACAATATCATCTGCATATAAGATTAAAAACATTTTAAACATGTTAACATCGATGCATTCAAAACCTTTATCAATAAATATATCTTCTAAATCATTAAGAAACATTGCGAAAAGAAAGGGAAACAAACACTCGCCTTGTCGTACACCTAACATACATTGAAATTGTTCACTTATTTGGTTATAATATTTAACTCTAGATTTAACAGCTGAATACATAGATATAATGATGTTTAACATGTTTCCACGAATACCTAACTTAATCATTTTCAACCATAAATTATCTCTGACAACATAATCAAAGGCTTTACTAAAATCAATAAATGCACAAAAAAGTTGTTTCCCGTTATTTAACATATGACTAATAAGACCATGAAGTACAAAAATATTATCTGAAGTACCAATTTTTGACCTAAACCCCGATTGCGCCTCAACATAAACACTGTATTTGCCGCCCATTCTGTTAACCTATTATTCAATATCCGCGTAAATAATTTCCCTAGGGTACTTAACAGTGTTATTCCTCTATAATTGCTTTCATCGTGTATATTGCCTTTTTTGTGTAATGGAACAACATATCCCTCTGACCAACTTTCAGGAAAATACCCCGAAGTAAATATTTTATTAAATAACGACAATAAGAAAGGTAATAATATATGTTTGCCATGTATAAAGAATTCATTAATATATTTATCTGGTCCACTACTTTTATTTGATTGAAGTTGATTAATTGCTTTTAAAATACAACACTCCTGTATTTGGCCATTTAATTCTTGAAACATTATCTTAAATTCATTTTGCTCATATCTTTCAATAAAAACAGTACATCTTCATCAGGTTGGAAAAAATGATCATCGGGGTTATTAACTGATTCAAAATATTTCTTAAAAACATCAACAGGTATATTCGATTGTCTTACGCCAGCACATTTTTTCAACATATTCCAATATAACTTAACATTATTATGTTTGGCCTT